CTAACTAGCTTTCCATGGGGAAAGATACCTTCTTAAAGCATTGTAGCACCTCTGAGCAGGGCACAGATGCTATCAGAGAAGTGTAAGCTATCCCCTCATAAATGGAGCAGTGGGGAGTTTTGCTGTTTGTGTATCATTTACCAGACTCGGTTAGCAAGTAAACCTGATAGCTTTAGGTTCAGTGATCAAACACATATACTCTGATGAAATGACCCACTTCCCAAGGGCGGGACTGATCCACCCATCGCTGGGTGGCGAGACATGTAATTTGGTAAGGATGGGAAAATACTTGCTTCTTCATAGAGATCTTGTGTGCAGTGCAGTCAACAGTTTGTTGAGCCTTAAAGTGAATTGAGATACGTATTGAGTGGTTTCTGTAACAGCAATTTGTGTTCTGAGCAAATGATGATCACTTATGTGTGTTTTTGCAGCACTTTGTGAGTGAACGGAAATACGATGAAGAGCTGGGCAGGTCTGCCCGATTTTCCTGTGATATGGAACAGCTGAAGACCCAGATTCTGCTCTGTGGAGAAAGTAAGTGCTGGTCATTTCTCACACCAAAGGTCTCCGAACGCAGTGTTCACATACCTGTTCAGGAAATGCTGGCAGGAATAACGGCCTGTGTGCAGCGAGCCTGACATGAATGCTATGTCCGGATGCAGCCGGCTTGCTGAACAGGCACAGGTCAGCTTTACAGTGTGCAACGCCTTAAGAGTCACTGTATGTGTGCTGCACAGTCCCTCTGCATGTGCACAGTGCCCTCTTTGTTGGAGGTTTCCAGGTATTACATCAGTTAGAGTTTTCCATCTAAACAGGATTTCCAAGTGGAAATAAAAGTCAGCTCTGGGGAACATTCAGATTGTTACAAGGCCAATTCGGATCTCTCCTGCTAGGAACCAACTGCCCAGCTTTATAACAGTATTCACTGGTTTTTTAGGTGCGAAACATAGTCTCAGATTTTCCTGTTTACAAATCATTTGCCCTTGTGCTTAGAGATTTAGGTTAGTTTTCTCCAAGTTCTCCTTGGTTCTGCTCCAGGTATCCTGTGTCTGTTGCAAAATATGAGAGAGCCTATTTCTCACCTTTCTCGTGCTTTTTTTCCCCCAAAAAAGTAAAAGGCATAATGCTTTGTCCCACGTTACCCTGCCCATGATATCCCATCAGTACCATCACTCAGGAGCAAAACCCTTAACACAGTACTGAACTAGTGCATCTTGGCAGAGGGAAAACAATTTTGGTAAGAAAAGTAATTAATGTTTTCGAGTAGTTACTGGAAATAGAAAAAAGAGGCAATGTCACAGTCTGCCAACAGAGTCTGCTGACTGCATAGCTAAAGAACGGACTCCTCTGAGGCGTAACCAGTTTAATTCACTAGACATAAGAGTTGGTTTGCAGAACACTTTGAAGGCCCATCTAACCCCGTATCCTGTCTGTCATTAAAGCCAACCCAGGATGCTTCAGAGGAAGGCGTAAGCTTCACAGTAACACATCTGATTGTTCGCAGTCACCTCATAGTCCCTGTCTCATGCCCAGAAGCTTAAGAGATTGAAAATTCTGTAAAGAATGACTAATATAACCACAGAATATTTTTTTAAACTCATTGAACTACTTTCCTAAATAACTTCCAGCTGCAGTTAATTCTGCAAGTTAATTATTTACACCTCATTTCAGTAAAGCATTACTTAAGCACAGTTTGATGCAGACCTGTTAAAATCTGGCCAATGAAGCCAAAAGAAGAGCTGTTAGCAGGGAAGCAGTGCCATCTTACAATTGACTGACAGTGCACTGGCCCTCTGAAGAACTTAGCTCTGATCTACCTCAGTGACCCTTAGATGAGCAACTCATGCTGTTGGCGGGTCTTTGATAAGAGCTCCACAGTGCAAAAGATGTTTCTGTCTGGAGCATCTCGCAATGAGGCCCATACCCTGCTTGGAGTTGCAGTACCCCTCAAACAGAGCTTATACCAGGCCTGTTGAGGGCTTTAACAGCAGCAACAACCAAAACCACAGAGCTTGTCAAGGGAAGGCATGCTCTAGCATGAGAAGGTGGGCAGCTTACACTCGTAATGAAGGGCAGGAAGAAATAAAAATAATCAGACTGACATATATCCAGAATGGTGGGCTGTACCCCTTCCTTGCACAACTTTTCTGTCAAAAATCGGGGGGGGGTGGTATGACAATCACCTGGATATTTATATGGGTTTCCACGTGCAGCAGTCTGTTTTGGACAAGAGGGAGCAGTAGAATTCAGTGGCAGCCAGCCTCACTGAACTTAGGACAGAAAATTCAGTTTGTTGTGCAGATCCTTGCATTGTTTTTCTGAAGAGGACACCTAGTGGGAGGAATAGCTGATGTTGGCGTAAGTGAATAAGAGCCTCAAAAAAACCTAACAGATGATGCTCTAGTTGCTAAAATTATTCTGCATCTTCTTTCTCTGTACTAAAAGTAGAAGTTGTGGATGCCCCATCCCTCGATGTCTTCAAGGCCAGGCTGGATGAGGCTTTGAGCAACCTGGTCTAGTGGAAGGTGTCCCTGCCCATGGCAGGGGGGTTGGAACTAGATGGTCTTTAAGGTCCCTTCCAACCCTAACCATTCTGTGATTCTATAAATACCTCTCAGATAAAACAACAGGTGTCTCACTGAAGTGAGCCTCTGGTTTGTCATCTGTACCAGACAGAAACAGGAAAATTCCATAATTAGAATAGCAAATTAAGATCAAGAACTTTACTCCAGTAGCCTCAGAGTGCTTTTTGCGACTGCTGAGGGGCCACTGCACAGGAGCAGGCAGCCTGAAGAGCTTGTGGCAATGCAAAGAGATAGGAACCAAGGATTTGTGTGATGTATTTCACATCCAGACATGGAAGTGGTTAAAAATCAGGTGGTGTCAAAAGACTAAGAAGTAAGGAGGAGGAATACACTGAGATGACCACAGTGGTTCCTGATGGTGCTGACTGCCATGATCTACATGAAGTGGATTAGTGCGTTGCATTCGGTTCCAGGTTTTGTAGCTACTCATGGTACGGAAGAACCTTTGTTAACCCTCTCCACAGAGAGGAATGAGCAACAGGCACTAGACTACTACTTCTCTTTAGAAAATATTCAGATGTACTGAGGAAGCTTTCATGGCTGTTTCAATGCTCCTCGGCTAGGAGCATTACGGATAGGGCAGCAGTGCGTGGGGCGGTCCTGATGGTGCATGTGTTCAGCTCAACTGGCTCAGAGTTCACAAGCAAACCAATAGGTGTCAGGAATTTTGAAACGTTTTCTTGGATGACCAAAGCCTAGCCTTCTGCCAGTCTCCCTCCAGGTTTAGAGCAGCTCCACCACATTGGCTTTTTTGTCTCCAGAAGTGCTTCACGATGAGGCAAGTTCACAGAAGTAAAAGGCTGTGGCCTAATGCCAACCCTAGTTATCTGCCTTACTTCATTATCTACAGTAAGACTAGAACGACACTACCAAAATTGACTGTAAGCAAGGTAAGGTTACAGCCTTATGTTTAGATGTTGATCATCTACCTGATAACACAGAATACTTTTTTTTTTATAGTTTCTCACCCAAAGAACAACTATTCCTCAAGAACACCGTGTAGTTCAGTGCTGTCCTCTATGACCTCGCATGCAACAACTGGCAGGCAAAATACACACCCCCGGAAGTCCTCTAGTAATGCCAAGAACTCTGATAATAAACCAGCCAGCGCTAAAGCACAAAGTCATCTTTCTTCCAATCCTACAGAATCTTCTTCCCAAGGAATCCCGACAAATAAGCAGGTAAGAAACCAGTTATAAACTCAACTAAATTATTTCAAAAATTTCAGAAAAATGCAAAATCAAATACTGGTTTTCAGTCCATATATTTAATTAAAAGTATTGGAAAACATGCAGGTATGTGTTTTCCAGTTTCATTCTCGAGGCAGTGTGAACATACAAGGTGGAACACCAGAAATGCCATACCAGCAAAAGACAGCTGTCTCATGTTCAGAAGGGACTAGTGGCAGTTGATAGACTGAAAAAGAAAAACCTTCCGTAACAGCTCATTGCCCTGCATGCTGCGATGGAGAAGCATTCCTGGTCCTTGACAAATGGTCAGCCCATGTGCTGTTGAAGCATGATTATTAGGTAGACTTTGACAGTGGAATCGTGCCGGGTTTACAAGCATATTATTTCAGAAGCTGTAGGATAAAGCTTATAGTACTGCTTTATAATTATAAAGAGCTCATTGTAAGAGCACCTTCGAATGTCCTTGTACTGTTGTGCTTAGGTGAAGCTGCCACTGGAGTTGGTCAGAGTTCTGTCCCAATAGGGAGTTTAGGCTCAAGTCGGTGCGTGAAGGAAAATGTAGGAGCGTTACATAACGTCAGTGCATGTATGGAAGCCGCTGCCTTGGCACTCTTGGAAATAAAGCAATTCAGCCACTTCCCACTAAGGATCAAAGCTTCCTCTCAGCAAGATGTCACAAGGGACATCTCACCCACCATGTGGATTCTTAACTTGACTATAATTTACACATGAATTTGTGTTGTTCCTGCAGTCTTACTGTAGTATTTACACAGTGCTTAATTAGGAAAGGTATTGTTGTGGTTTCAGAAAACGTCAATCAGCATCAAGTTCTCCAGTGCTTCTTAACTGCTGCTATTCAGATGTCTAGTATTTCTGCCCCTTTTCTGTATTCTCTTGAGTCAGGGCAGATTTTAATTTTGCGTTGCTGGTGAACCTGCCATCTATATTTCCAGGCTACTCCGATGTGGCATGTTACTCATAGTTCAGTTTTCAAGTGTTATACATGGAGAGCGCTGGCAACCATCAAAACCATAGAGTGTTTTCCCTCTCCCAGTTATGCTGAGAATTTTATTCTGCATTTTTTGTTAATTCTGATCGTTGTATTTCTTGTC